AATACGTTTTCAACTTTTACCGTACATTATTAAAAAAATACGCATTCTAAACCGGTCCAACTTCAGGATCGTATGAAAAACACTAAAACAAAACTAATTGTAAAGGGTCTACGATTAATTTTAATTCTGATGGAAATGGTACAGCGTTTACTGCTCATTTTTCCTTAAAAAAATATGAGCAACTAATCTGTTTTTGACGATAACTCCTTCAATTTTGCTCTAATTAACTTTTGAAGGTCTTTTTGAGTACTACAAAAAAACTCCTGGAGCGTTATACACGTAAAATTAATCCTTTTCCCGTTATTTGACGTTGAATACATCGATTCGAGTATCCCCCCTAAAACAAGTCCCCTTCCATTAACCATATTTCGCTTTGTATAGGACGTGCAACACTTTTTGAAAAACGATTTTCTTTGTTTATTTATAAGCTACATTTTTGTTATTACACTTTTTTAAATAAAATGCGTAGTTTTTGAGTTAGTCGCGAAAAATACTTTGAAGAAGTGTTTTTTTTTGTCACCCAAAATTCCAAGTTTTCAATCGTGAATAAATGAAAAACTATCGATTTCTCAAAAAAATTCTTCGAATATTTTCTGCTCAAAATTTGATTCTCTATCGATTGCCAGCGTTATTTTTGAAAAAAATGTCCACCCCCGAGAAGGGGTGTCAACCCCCAACAGGATGGAAGCGTCAATCGGCGCTATGTCACTAATGTTCATTGACCTTTTCTCTAACTATCTGCCAAATTTCAAGTCGATTGGTTCAGTTTCAAAGAATTCGGAGGTGAAAAGCTTCAATGACTGTACTAACCGTACAATAACGTTTTTTCCAAAAAACAGACAATTCTATTACCTGAGAAACACTATATATGCCTTGTCATAAAATACAGACTGCAAATGTCAAATCTGTCAAACCAACTCAATAAAATTAAAACAGTTTTCATTCAAAACCAGTGTATTTAAAGCTTAAAACCCAAAACTAAGAAAGTAGATATCTCAAAATGGTCGACTACTACAAGATCCTGAAAATTTCGAAGAGCGCCACCAAGGAAGATATCAGGAAAGCGTACCGCAAGCTGGCCCTAAAGTGGCATCCAGACAAGAACCCGAACAACATGGAAGAAGCGAATAGGAAGTTTAAGGAGATATCAGAAGCCTACGAAGTGTTGTCCGACGACAGAAAACGAAGAACGTACGACAGGTACGGAAAAGAAGGACCACGCAGGGTGAGTCCCGACCACAGTGAAAACGTCTTTGACCTTGGGGGCTTCGGCCTGTTCTCCTTCAGAGACCCGAAGGACGTCTTTAAGGAGTTCTTCGGTGCTGGCTTCCTAAATCTATTCAGCGACTTGCACCTGCAAAGAAGGAGGAGCAGGCAATCGGAACTGGAAGGTTTCAACAACTCTTCCTTTGGTATAAACAGCGACGCCGTGAATGACATGTTTTTTGGGAATTCCGAAAATTTTGGCGCGGGGAATTCTGGGGAGTTCAATTCGTTCACCACCATGGAGAGTTCTTTTTGCGACGGAAGCCCCAACAATACGTACGTGAAGAGAACGTCTGTATCTACGAAAGTCGTTAATGGGAAGAAGGTGACGACGAAGAGGATCTTCGAGAATGGTAAGGAAGTCGTGATGTCCTACGAGAACGACGTGCTGAAATCCAAAACTATTAACGGTGTTCCTCAAAGCATTACTTATAAATAAACAGTTTTATTCGAAAGCTGCTGTATTATTGGTCAAATAACTACTGTTTATTGAAATAGTCGTTATGTACACGTTTCTATGAGAAAGTAATTGTTTTCTTTCTTCCCTATATCACCTTGTAAAATGTGACTTATTATTTCGGGATTAAATGTAACAGTTTTATGAAAAATATAAATTTATGTGTTTTTTATAGAAATGTTTTCTTTGAACTTTTATAAGTATTTATCTCGATATTTTGTCACTTATGAAAAAAAATTGAAGTCCTAAAACTTCTTTCAATAGAAGTCAAACAAAGTTCTTCTAGGTATACCAAAATTATAGTTATGCAAAATATCTAACCTCATACGCAAAATTCCTAATTAATGACGGAAACAGAATGATTTTCGAAGTTTCAACAACTTATTGGAAGTGTGTGATATAGTATTGTGTATTTTTTTGCCTGCTTTTGACTGTGTGGAATTTTTGGTTATAGTCCAGTCACTGAAGGCGAAAATAAAGTAAAAGCTCCCAATTTTTTCGGATAGCATGGATTTTCCTGAAAATTTGCATACAAGCTCATCTGACCCCCCACTTCAAAAGTTATATTGTCTAGATGTGTGCTTTTTTTCTATTTGTGGGTCAAAACTACCCTTGTACGAAAAAAATGCGAAAATCGCAGATTTACGTGTTTTAAAGATTCAATTCATGTTCAAATTGTTGGATAAAGTTCCTTTCATGTTTTTTAATATAATTTATGAATCTTAATTACTTTTAAACCCTTAAAAATCCTTAAAAACTAACCTTCCATGACCAAAAAAATAGAAAAAAAGAGTTTTTAACAGTTTAAAATTTTCCTTTGGTGCATTCACAATGTATTGCATTTCTTTTGTTATTCATTAGAAGCTTACGGCTCATTACAAAGTTGCAACCCTGAAAACCTATCCCTTATAATAAAATAAAATATTATTAAAAGCTGTTTTAATGGTATGCATATGTTGAATTATAAACTTTTTATTGGTTTTCAAATGATCTATGATATATTGCAACTTTTCAGTCACCCAAAAAACCCTTATGGACTACCTACCCCTCATAAAAAACCCTACCCCTTATAGAAAAATTTCCTAAAAATTATATGTGAGTATGATGATATAATTAATTTTTTAAAATATTATTGAATTTATTCTTAATATTTTTTTATTAAATTTATATCAAATAAAAAAATTGTATATACATTATAAATGGATACGTGTGTGTATATATATATTATTAAAATACCCAAATCAGTTCACAAGTGCTCCAAAATACACAAAGGTGATGGTAATTTACCCGCACCGAAAATTTTACCGAAAAAATGCGATTAATTTTTTTACCATAACTTTTGTAATTTTAAAGTTATAAATTACGCAAAAAACATTTTCTAGGGAATTTAAAGCACTTTAAGTTCTGTGATTTACAGTTTTTTTTAACCCTTCGTTTTTTAGATTTGTAAGCTAAAAGGGCTCAGGAAAGGCAGTCTTGGAGTTTAGTTTAGGTCATATTTAGTTTGTCCTACAAAAATTAAAAAAAAGCAAATTGTTCAGTAAGAAAAAACCTACAATTTCTTATTCTATCATTTTTTTTATAACTTTGTTAGTTTTTGAAATATTTTGAAAAAAGACGATTTTTTAAAAAATTGAAAAATTTTATTCAAAAGTAAATGAATTTTTTTTTTAATTTAGGCTTTTAAAATCGTTCAAATTCCCAGAATCTACTGTTAATACATAAATAAAGTAAATTGCAGAAGACATACGTTTATTTTTTTTCCGTCAAGTCATTAATTTTAATACCGATTTTTTTTTCTCAAAAATCAAGACAATCATTTTATTTTGATTGTAACTTCATTAGTTTTCATACTAACGACTTCTAGCACCACTCAATTTAAAGGTCTTTTCAAGAACTTTAATAGGTGTTATATAAGTTTTCCTCGAAAAACCTTTAATTTTTCCGCTACAGGACGTTGAACGTTTCGATTTTAGCTATCTTCGAAATTGATTTCAACTTCTGGTAGTCATAACTCGGGTTCTATACCATATACAAAAATAAAAAAAGTAATCTCTTCGCTATTTAATTACCTTCATTTTTGCTTATGATAATTTTGTTGATAAAACTTGTAGTTTTTGAGATATTCGCGAAAAATCGCTCTAAAACATACATTTTTTGGGCTAAAAATGAACATGTTTAGGCGCAAATAACTCAAAAAGTATTGACTGTACAAAAAATTCTTATAGAACATTTTTTGCATAGAATTCGTCCCTCTATCGAATCGTGAGGTTATTTTTAATAAAAAAATTTCCCACCCTCCAGTAGGGGTGGCATCCACCCCTAAGGTAAAAGCACACATCAGCACTATATAACTTTTGTTTCTTGAGCTATTCCCTAGCTACAGTTCAAATTTCACGTCAATCCATTCCAACCGAAAAAATTGGTAGCCAAAATACTTCAGTGATTGGACTATTAAACAAAACTAGTTATAAAACGGTAATTATTTGGAAAACGATTGCAGTATCTTAAGACAATAACAGTGAGCACTTTGACAGTCCATTGTGATGATTGAACCTTTGTCTCAATGTCGTAGCCATATACCCAGCTTTCGTCTCTCTTTATGATCCTTTGAATGAATGTTTCATCGTCATTGGATTGTTCAAGGAGTTGCTGACAAGCACTAATCATTCAGTTATTTATTCGAATAAAGAAATTAATAATATCAGTAATCATTTTAATCAAAAATACCTCCATTTCCAAGAACACAGGCGCGATATCTTTTTAGTGACGAAAATGTAATTTGTTCAAGATTTATTGTTGCTTGAATCTGATGAAGAGCATTATTTATTCTTTCTTCTAACTGATCACAATGGCAACGTTGCTATCGCAGCGTACTATGTAATTTTAAACAGAATTTTATTTGAATATTGAAGTGTGTTTTCGATTCATTTTTTATATTTTACTCCAAAATCAGTCTCTTTTCGAAAAACATAAGAGAGTAGTAATTTACAGAAAATTTTAAGATGAATCCGAAAATATCATGATTGTTACCGTAAATCAGTGGCGTAGTATTTACCACCGATACTCTGTACCTCCGCCACTGGAGCATCTAAATTTTAGAAAAGATCCTCAGATTTTGGACAATGTTTACATAAATACATGTGCCCAATTTCAAATTATGTCACTTACTAGTTTTTAAATTATTTACAAAAATTAAAAATATTATTTTAAGTATAACACCCTGTATCTTTTTAACGAAGCGTTCTAGATAAAAACTTTGTACGTAAGACTCTCCTTAAAATTCCCTCCAAGAATACGAGGTTTCATATTTGGTCGCCATTTGTGAATCATCCTGTAGAAAAATACGAAATTTACGATAACTTCATGATTAATGCATGAAAAATGTAATCTTTAAAATGATGTGAATTGACAAATTCAAGCGGCATAGTACATTAAAAAGAAAGCTTCGCCATATTTGTATGAAACACAACTACAATTTTTTACCATAAATTTTATATTATAGGCTAGGATAAGTAAAGTTAAGTTTATCTTTATTTCATTATAACACAATTAGTTCAGATCAATTTACGTGTAACCGATGTTACATACATAATTACATGCATTTATACAATTATTTGTTGAAGTTCTGAAAACTGAAACTGAAACATTATCAAATTGTTTTTTTTTTTAGATTTTTGGTTAGGTAAAGCTATGTTCATAAACATAACCCTTTACTGGTCTTTTTGACGCAAGGGTTTATTTCATTGATTTTCTAATTTTTTGGAAGAAAAAATCTAAAAACTAAAACCATACCACAAATAAATATTTGCGGACAATATCAGAATTTTTTTACTGATACATTATAGCAACTTAAGTATTTCTTATAATATCTACCAATATGAATCAAATTTTGTGTGTTTCGTTTTAAATTATCCCATATTTTGTTTCCATTGGGAATATATCCTGATATATCCTGATAGGTATCTTATATCGTGCCAAAGTCGAGTCTGCTGAAGTTTACTCTTAAATTAATTAATTAGAGGGATTATATAGTTCTAAATATATGATCTCTGTACCTGCTCCACAAACTTCATTAATGAAGCAATATTTTAGTCTTTTAATGTTGCGTTTGCAATTTTATACCTACATTTTTTAAAGTGTTTGGATTCCCACAAAATAAACAGATAAAATAAGAACTTTTATTTCATGTTATTGTAACCATATTACGTTTTTTTAGCTATTAGGTACGTACGATGATTATGTAAGTGCAATATCATTTCATTCATTGACATTTTTATGCAGACAATTTTATTTTGTTGGGTATTTTGTTCCAAATTAGAATAATATGTTTACTCTGTCATTTTTGTTATTTTAAATCAAAATGTATAACCTTTCCCTCTTTGATATTTCTCATTAAGCAACCGTAAATTTATTTACACAATATATTTGCTGTTAGTGGTAAGTATTTGTATATTTAATTATTTCCTGAACTCCTGCCTTTTTAGATTTTTGTAATATTAAACGAATCCCAATTGCCGATACCATTTACTTACATGTTAAAATCTTTCTTCCGAGATAATCCACGCAACACATAGCGATAAGTATTCCAGTGATAATTCCTGCAGTCAGTGTAAAGTAAATATAGTACAACATTTGACTCCTGTCTCCAATATTGCACAATGTATGGTTCTCCCAGTGATCTAAATGGATAAGTTCAATGCCTTCTCGTACGACTGAATTAGTGTATGGAAGTTTTGTGAGCATGATATTCAAATTCAAATGTCTTGGTACCGAAAAAAAAGATATTAATTTGGTTACATTTGTCTTACCTCGGTTATTGTTTATTGTTATATTGAAAATACATGGTGTTAATGAACTTGTGTCAAAAATTTAGATGTGAAAAAGAAGCAAAAACTAATGTCATACACTTGTATCGGAGGTTTAAGGTCATAGAGATAGAGAGAATTAAAAATGTGTTTAAAACTGTTTTGGAGCTGCTGAAATACATGCATTTTATTGCGGCGAGCACTTACAAATAAATCTGTAACACTTTTTACGAGCTTGTAGGTTTCTTATGAAACCGCACTGTATTCGAATGTCAGTTTGTGATACACTGTTGTAGTGATTGCTGTGCTGTTTTTCGAGAGTACATTTAATAGTCGTATTTCCAAGTTTTCTTTTGAAAATGGCTCATTTATTTAGCAATATTATGCTCATAATTTATGGCGAAGCAAACGAAAATGACCATAGAGCTTGTCAAGTGTACCGTGCAAGATATCCTGAACGACGTGCCCCCGCACCGCGAACATTTGTTGCGGTAGCGCAAAGAGTTTTGGACACCGGTGAAGTACAACCGCGTCGAGGTCGCGACGGTGGCCCAAGGCGACCACTAAGAATGGACATCTTTAGACATCTTTTTGTGGGGTTATGTGAAAAGTGTTGTGTATTCCATAGAAATTCGTGACATCGACCAACTGCGACATCGTATTGCCGATGCTTTTAATGCGATTCGAGAGGAGGTGGCAATGTTGCAACGCGTGCGAGCGAATTGGATACGTCGCGCTGAAGCTTGTGTGCAAGGAAATGGTGGGAACATCGAACGTCTTCTATGAAAAGCAGCAGTTCCCAAAAGGCGGCAACTTGCAATGTTGAGATAAGTCAGATTTTAAAATTACATTATACTCAACACAAATCCGTGTATTTTGACATAACGGACATGTGGCAAAAATATTTGACATACGTTGATTAACACCCTGTATAAATAAAATGTTTATTACCCAAAAATTAGTAACGGCAGTTTGACGATTAAGAGAATAATGGTCGTTCTCAGGAATTTATTTGAAAACAGTAGTTTTACAGCATTGAAATTTAATTTTATTATTTTTGTTGATGTATTTACACATCCGTGTGGTTCTGGGTAAATTGAAGGATATTTTCTGTCTGTTATGTGGGCCACATCTGCTTCCTTAACCTAAAAATATAATAAAACTAAAAACGTTGATTATTTAACATAAACTTAAACATTTATTGAATGTGTATACAATGAAACTTATATTTCAAGGTTGGCAATAATTATTTTGTCCCAAAATGGAGGTAGATTGCGGTAGTTCAACAATCTGAGGACGTTAGCTCAGAATTTCGCCGTCATTGCCAATTTATTCAATCGGACCATTTGATTTGCAATTGTATTTCAAAATAAAGTACTTTTATTTTATTGTTGATTATATTTTTTAATATATAATATTATCACACAGTTGAAAATAATACTATGCGTATCACAAAAAAATATACAGTGTTTCTCCGGATGGGGTACCGTACTCTTGTAAACTTTTTCATTGTTGATTTTTCGAGAAAAAGTTATTCTCGATAAAAAGTTTAAACAAATCAAAGGTGCTAAGGAAAATTTTACATTTTAAAATTTTTTGGACCACCTGTATGTTTTATTATATATTTGATTACTGTCCAAGATAAGTAAAACTTTTTATCAAGAAAACTTTTACTCGAAAAATCAACAATAAAAAAATTTACAGGAGCGCGGTACCCGTAGACCTACCGATGCCCCATCCGGGGACACACTGTATAATTTAAAAATTTGTAAAATTGTCAATTCATGGTATTTAGAGATGGCTTCCCACTATATCCACGACTGATATTTATAACTGTACCTACTCATAATACAAACTTTTCAAATTTTTGTCGCTACTTATCAGCATCATTACCATAACTAATATTTATTTTCTAGAACTAAAAATCTCACCTCCAGGTACTCCCCGAAACTCGACTTATTAATAGCGTAAAATTGCTTCAGCGTCAGCAACGCCAGGTAGTACTTCTTTATGTGCAAGAAATACCTGGGACTTTCTTCTAATAGAGCCGTAGCGCACGCCACTGTTAAGTTTAAACCTCCGGCTATAGCAAACATCATCTTCCAGTAAGCCAGTTTCATATCAACTGCGCTGGTTTCGGTCATAAGAGGGTCTTTTAAGAATATGCCAAGAACTGAGCAAAAAAGTATAGAGAATATAACGGAGATAATCTGTCAGGACTGACTTTTGTCATCAGAACAGATGGGTAAGAGGGGCAACCCTTTAAAAGTTCGATTCGAAAATAGTTTACTAAAGCACAAATAGATGCAGAGATTATACCTTACAACAGTAGTCATTTAGGTAGCTTAGTAAATGATATTTATTTTCTAATTAAGGCGAATTAACAATTTTAACAGATATTGTGTTTAAAATCACTCAATTCGTTGTTAATATTACTCATTTCTGAGTAGGGCAAACGTAAAGTTCACAGGGATACCGACGCGCAGTTGGGACTGTGCTGTCAGACAACAAACACGTATTAACTGCATACCATAGTGTATAGTCTTTCCGAAGTCAGTTGAACATGTATAAAAACGCCTAGCAATAGAATTTAATGAGTTTAATAGGCGTCCCTAAAAAAGTTTTCTGCTAAAGGTAAAAAATAATATTAATTTGTTTATAATGTGTAGAAAATTTCTATTATATATTCATTTGGCCAACAACATATTTTAATTATTTATGTTCTCAAATAATTTTATTATATTGATGGTAAATTTTGGTTATGGCATATCAAAAAATATTTACATTTTTATTAAAATATATTATTGCCAGGGACCAACGGGATGGACATATCCTTGCCAGAAAAGGATGAGGAAGGGTTGTTAGTTTAGGTTAGAAAAGTTATTAAATAAAAATAATCAACAATAAAATAATTCCGCACTGCACTGCTAGGCAATTTGTCAATAACTGAAATTTATGGCACAGTCACCCAGTGCGGCTGTGTTTGTGCGGCATTTGCCCGCGCGCGTGTTCTTTAACTGGTCGTATACATTTCTACCAACTCCATCTTTAGTTCGACCAGACCTTTATATGGGTATGGCTCAATAAATACGGGAACAACTTTTTCAAATATTCCAATGTTGAGTTGCTGCGTCAGCGACCGAAACTGAAACATACTGCCTAGCTCTTTGGTCTTCAATTGAGATCGGAAAGACTATAACAATATGATATAGTTTGGCAAGCTAATACAGAAGTTGTTCAATGTTATGTATAATTGAATTAGCTAACAAATAGTTGAGTCAATATTACTCAACGAATAGTGTTATTTATTTCTACACAATTGTGTTGATTTTGAGAGAAAATTTGCTCAATTATTTTTACGGTGTTTAACTTTAAAAAAAATAATTCTCAAAGGATGAACTATTTCCAGTTAAAACCTCTTGAGTTTCTTTTTTTTCATAGATTGAGTCGTTTATGAGTAAAAGTCCAAAACTATGACAAATTATGAGTATTGCTTTTAACGATGAGTATGTGAAAATCAGAATCAGACAAAGTTTTTCACAAATTTGCCTATATTCGAATAAAAAATAGTCGAACGATTAAAATTAATTTTTGTATAATTTGTCCAATCGCCTTAGTCAAAATTGTATTTAAATATGGCATTAATGCCGAAGTACACAATTTTTTGCATGTGACTATTTTTTTGCTAGTAGATGAGGAAAAGTTCAAAATTTGTATGGGACTGCTTACAAATGCTGACTGAACTGGCCACCAATAATACAGTCAGACTGTGTTGGGTGCCAGGACACAAAGGCATTTGTGGAATCGAGAAAGTGGGTGAACTTGCTAGGAAGGGATCCGAGACAGAGTTCATTGGTCCGGAGCCCTTCTTTGGTACATCTCCCAGTGTGGTCAGGCCAGGACATAGCCATTCTAATAAGCTCATGGAGTATCCGTTGAAGGAAAGAGCAAATGAGTTACTGAGCTTGAATAAAATCCGACTCAGGAGAGTGACGGGACTCATAACAGCACACTGTCACTTTAGGAAACATCTACATAAGCTAAAGCTTGTAGATGTTCATGGTCCAGGTTGAATTCAAGGTCACCAGATAGCCAGGGAAAAATCCTAAACCCCTAGTGCTTTACTTTTACCTTACCGCTTGAATATTCCCAGATATCCTGCCATTCCGATACTTTTGGCCCACCCTGTATACTGGGACACAATACTTAGATGTGTTCTCCGGGCTACAATAAAAAAGTTAAGCCAGTGCCTGTAACCTAAAAATATGAATGAAATAAAACACAGGAAAATTCTTGGCGTGATCGATTCATACAAAATGCAAGTCTCTTTCGGTGATCTTATTTTGCTAAATATTTGCCCAATTTACTTCAGTTGATTGGTTGTCCCATTAACTTTGTAAAAAAGCGCAAAGTTCGACTGCCAACTAAGCTCTACTTGCAATAATTCCACATAGTTTTCTTAAGGAAAGAATTATTTTTTCCTGTAAAATAGCACATAGAAAGAAGGTTTGAAACTTCCCCTTTCGGACAAATTTTGTTTCATGCATTTTCATCAAGAAACGAAAGAGTAGACGCACAGTTAGTGTAGCGTCGCTTTAAAGTACGTGTTCTTCTGGCTGATTTGCATAAGAATTATTATCATTTTATGTAAATCCCTAAATATCTCCGAAATAACGCACTGTACGAAAAAATCAATAGTAACCTTTCTTGTAGAGAATTTTATGCTCTACAACTTGATCCTTTGTATGTTTGTGAAATTCTCAATATTTTTCAAGTTATTCACGAAATACTTTTTTGCAGTTTTCCGGTCATTTCCCGAATTTTTCCGATTCGCTCCCATGCAGAACAATTTTTTTCCTAATCTACTAGCACAATATTAGTTATTTGCAAAAAATTATGCACTTCGAAATTGTTGCCATCTCAAAACATCTAGCAACTGCACTAAATTAGATAACTCAAATTATTGACAAATTAGAAGGAAATAATTATTTTGCTCTAATTTGATCCGTGTTGATGAACGTTTAACACTTATATTTAATGAGTCTTCAGTAACTGATCAAAAACTGTTTCATTTCACTATTTAAAATAATTTAGAGACTGTGGAATGTTATTCCTTTTGAGAAAGAGAAAAATCAACCCTGTTCAATATTTAACGTTCAACATTTCCGGTTAACTTACGTGACACAAATAAATATCCAAAACTCCAAAATAAATCGCAAATTGCCAGGTAAAATCCTCTTCGATTTAAGGGCAGTATTTCAGTTAGATGCACCCTTACAACACAATAATTTGTTTCCAGTCTGTAAAGTCAAAATTGCACATTACAATAAACTGCAAGTTTAGATATTTTTGAGAAATGAGAAACAGTTTAATTTGTCTTCAAATCGTTTCCACTAATTCCAAATTTATGGACCTTTGCCAATAATTAGTAAACATATTTAATCCGATGCAGCGTAATATTTCAAACAGTAACAGTAACTGTAAAACAAGAAAAATTTAATATCTGCATATTTATAATCTATTTTAAAACAAGAGAAATGAGGTGCTCAACTGTTCTGTGGAAATTTGAGTAACAATTAATAACAACAGATTCAACCGTTCTGATTTCATTTGACTTAATTAATTTACTGTGTAAATGAAAAAATATGAAGCTAAACAACTTAGCAAAACCTATACGATCTTCACCCAGAGGCTAAAATGAATGCCGAAAATATGATTCCAATATAATTGTACGCAAAAGCCGCTATGAAGCAGCTGATGAAGATCAGCAACATGGTGTGTGTCATTAATCTTTTCCTTCCATAGATGTCACACAGAGAGCTTAGTAAGAATCCGCCAAAAGCACGTCCTATAATAAATATTGAATATATTCAATCTCTTGAGAAGTTTTTTACAAATTGTATACAAAAATTGTACGTACCCAAAACGAAACTCGTATCTAAGTTCAGAATCATGTTCCTTGATATGGAGTATTCACAAGTGGACAGTGCAATAGAAAAAGGCAAGGCAAAGAAAGCTGTAGCCTGTGAAAAGCACGCCACACATGCCATAGCTAGCATAAATTTGTAGTACAGGCCCCAACCTACAAATAAAGTTAAAAATCGTGTCAAAAAATCACCAAAGTGTGTACCTGTTCGCGGTAATACATCCTCAAAATAAGTTCTTGGAGGCGTTTCTTCAAACGGTTGAGTCATTTTAGCAATATTGGCAAGACTACAAAAATTTGACAGCTGGATTGTAAGTCAAACTGAACTACACTTGACAAATAGATGACGTTAATACAACTTTTTCAGATGTATTTCAGAAACGGTTGATTTAATTTCAGGGAGCTTAATTTCAAGTTTATCTTAATTTTAGGAATCATTACTTGTATTTATTTTGAGTTATTCGATTTTATCCAACAAAGTATTTTAAAAATTTATAATAGTATTATGGTAATGGTTGGTTTATAAAAAAGTATTAGTCGTAACTTAACCTTAATCTTACTCCTAAAAAGTTAAATGTGCAGAATGTAATGTATCGGTTTACAAAAATCTTAACCTTGCCCTAGTCTTAAGGACGTCTTAAGACATTACCTTGAAAGTTCGTATCTTTTAATTTTTCTAGAATTAAGACTAAGATCTGAGAAGTGCGCATGCGCATATAATAGTAATAGGTTATATTTTTCTTTTCACTTTCACCAACAGAACAAATATCTAATAACATTACCACAGAATAATAAACAATTCATTATGCGTATAGTCGAATCGCTCATTGGCTGATCGAAGTAAAATTAGGACCATATATTATATAAACGTGTATCTATTCTTAGGACTAATCCTAAGATTAGTGTAAAGGTTAATACTAAGACTAAAACTAGTTAAGGCTACGACTTTTTTATAAATCAACCATAACAGAAGCCACAATACATACATACAAATTACTTAGAAACTATTATTATTTATATTCTGATAATGGTTGCTGCTGCCTTCAAATACTTCTCTTATCTGCTCCCACTATAGTAAATAGACTGTTAATACATTGTTTTTAAGGAGGTAAGTGGATTTTACCGTAGAAGTGGAAGTTGCTATGGATAACGGGAGGTAAGTGAGGTAACTTACCTCCCATGCAAAAAAGCTACTTCTTGTTATAAATCCATATTTTATGAACAAATAAATAGAAATATTTGATGAACATTACATTTTATTAATCATTATGAATGAATATTTATAGTAATTGTACAGTTATTACATTTAGTAACATTTATAAAATCTGGATAATTAGTACTACTAGAACCTGAAGTTGAATTGTCATTGTAAAGAATCCTGTTGGCTATATCATTTTGTTATTTAAACTGTCAGCAACATAACTTTCCGCAATTGTGGCTGATTTCCACTCACCATGTCTCTTGATTGCTAATACATCAACTCCCGTATTAGCCAGTAACGTTGCCGATGTTCTTCGGAATGAATGGCCTGTATATGGGGCGTTCCACGCCAAATCGGACGGTTCGAAAAATTTAAATTTTCGATTTCCTTAACTTTTTTATATTTTTTAGTACCCCTCAAAAGAGCCTTTCTGGTAAATTTTCAGATTTTTTTTATTACTTGTTCAAAAGGTATAAAATTTTCAAAAAAACGCTCTTTTTTTGGTTTTTTGATCATAACTTTCTTAATAATGGTCCAAATTAAAGCTTTTTTTTATAAAAATATTTGTTTTTAGATGGCCTTTACAGATAAAAATACAAAAGAAATATTCAAAGTGTTTTTGATTAAGATTTTTAAGTTTAAAATTTTAAATCGTGTTTTTGAAAGTGAGTGTATCTTTCGATTTTTGTGAAAATTTTCTATTTCAAACTACTATTCTTTTAACAACTTTTAGGACCGGTCCGGTCGTGGGCCCTCCATAATTACTATTTTTTTTTTGATTTTTGAAATTTAAAACAAAATTTTTCTCTATAAATCATTATAAGTACCGATTTTTGTATACCCTTTTTTACTTATTTTAAATTAATATTAATACTTTTTAATTATTAATAGGTGTTTAAAATCAATAAGTAAACGTTGTCTATTTATAAACAATGATAACAAACGTTTTTATTTATTTTCGTGTTCTTTTAAAAATTGTTTCAAAATTATTTTATCAATGTTTTTTTTTGTTGCAAAGTATTTTTTTTTATTTAAATAATAGTATCTTTATGAATTTCTATTCTATTTAAAAAGAGTCGCACATCTTATGATTATTATTGATGTCAAATTTTCACCTGAGAAACACTATTTAGATGCAAAAGAAAAATTAAATTTGCGATACAATATAGGGACCCAAAAATTTCATTCAATCATTCTAAGGAGCAATGGAAATATATTAGGTAAGGAGTATTCTAGTTTACAAAATAATATTTTGTTCCTTGGAATGATTGAATGAAATTTTGGGTTTGTTTGGGTTTGGCTGTATTGTAACGCAAATCTAATATTTTTTGCATCTAAATAGTGTTTCTCAGCTGAAAATTTGACAGCAATATTCATAAGATGTGCGACTCTTTTTAAATTGGATAGAAATTCATAAAGATACTATTATTTAAATAAAAAAAATACTTTGCAACAAAAAATAGCATTGATAAAATGATTTTTAAAAGAACACGAAAATAAATAAACACGTTTGTTATAATTGTTTATAAATAGACAACGTTTAATTATTGATTTTAAACACCTATTAATAATTAAAAAGTATTCAAATTAATTTAAAATAAGTAAAAAGAAAGTAGACAGTGACAAAAATCAGTACTTATGATTTATAGATATATTTTTTTTAATTTTCAAAAATCAAAAAAAAAAAATTAATTATGGAGGGCCCATGACCGGACCGGTCCTAAAAGTTGTTAAAAGAATAGTAGTTTGAAATAAAATATTTTCACAAAAATCGAAAGATACACTCACTTTCAAAAATACGATTTAAAATTTCAAACTCAAAAATCTTAATCAAAAACACTTTGAATATTTTTTTTGTATTTTTATCTGTAAAGGCCATCTAAAAACAAAGATTTTTATAAAAAAAAGCTTTAATTTGGACCATTATTAAGAAAGTTATGACCAAAAAACCAAAAAAGAGCGTTTTTTTTGAAAATTTTATAACTTTTGAACAAGTAATCAAAAAAATCTGAAAATTTACCAGAAAGGATTTTTTGAGGGGTACTAAAAATATAAAAAAAATTAAGGAAATCGAAAATTTAAATTTTTCGAACCGTCCGATTTGGCGTGGAATGCCCCATATGTTTCAGGATGTTCTAGTTTCAAAAACTGTACAATCTTATTAGGCATCATAGAAAGGGTATTCTTGCCGACTGGTTGGTTGTAACATCTACCTGCTTGATAGCGCATAAAAAAGTGTGAAATTTCAGTTTTAATTTCCAATCTAATTTTAATAATATATATTTTTTGAGAATTTCTAGGTGAGAAACAGAACCCAGACGAGAAGTAATTGTAAACGTACGTGATTTTTAGAATCTGGAATTGTAACTACAATAATGTCATCGAAATTTTTGAAATTGACATTGTCCAAAGTAAGTTTGCATAACTCATCAGAACGGCATGCTCCTGCAATGCCTAAGACCGTCACTACTTTCATTAGCAAATATTTGTTATCGGGTGCCTGAACGAGAAAACAGTTGATTTGTCCTCTTGTAAAAACGTTTAACTTTTTAGGTGTATAGCCGGTCATTCTTGCCTTTCAGCTTGGGGTATTTTGATATATCCACGTTTTCGTCTACGAAAATAGTTGACTTAATCATTGAGTATTCACTCCACAAACTCGCCGGTGACTTTAAAGTTCTTGAAATATGAAATGAAAATAGCATGAAATATGCTAGCAGTGACATTTCAGAAACACCAGTATTTTTGTTCTGGAACCATTCTTTGAAATTTCTATATGCTCTGGCGTTGCGCACTTTCGACTTCTCGGGCAATAAAAATTCGCAGCATTTGAAAATCACTCATTTAGAAATAATAATTCAAATTCAGCAAAATTGCAACTTCTATGTAGCTTTGTTTATAAACACCTTAGAAACGACAAAATCCAAACAACCAAGGCGAAGTTTTTGAATAATGTCAAAATGAATTGATTAAGAAACGTCAAAAAATAAAACCTAATCTTTATTTCATGAACCATAAAGAACTGTGGATGCAGATAAAACGTTATACACCACGTAGCAGTCAAGTATAATTTACCAGTCTCGGACTCTATTGCCAGTTCCCGCTCCGCTCGGGCGCAAAATCGTCCTCGACTGGTAAATAATACTTACCTCCTTTATGGTATAAATAACTAATAATATACATATTCTCTTAAAGAATCTAGTATTCTGATGGATTTGCTAATACACTTTTTGAAATCTTTAGCACTCGGTTTTTCTGTTTATTGGATAATACGCCCGTGCACCAAAATATATAAACAAAGATTAACTAAAACTATACCGGAAATAAACGAAGACCTCAAATGTTTATATCAAAGAATAGTTGTAAATTTATGCAAAAATGTCAAAAGGCAGACAACATAAGTATCTTATATATATGTTAATGTTTTGCATATTTAAAAGCAACCCTTTAAATTCACTCCAACGACAGAGTCTATTGAGAGTTTCCTCGAAAACAACGAAATCTTGAAAAGTGGTTATCCCTAAATTGATTTTTATATCATCAGCAAATATAAGATGAGGTACATTCATATATATAACAAGGTTACTAATAAAAATATTGAATAACAATGGACAAAGGACCGATCCCTGAGGAATACCGGAGAGGACTGGAAAACTATGTGATGAGAAATCTCTGAAGCATACAAGGTCTGTTCAGAAAATAACCGAACTTTATTTTTAATTTTATACATTATTGGTCCTTGTCTCCTGCAAAGCACTCCCATAGGGATTCACACATTTTTCCCATTGGTGTTTCTATTTCACTAAGCAGTTCTGGATAGTTTCAGTTTTTTGAAATGGCCTTTAAAGTCTGTGACGAATTTACTTTGATGTCATCAATGGTATGAAAACTGCGTCCTCTCAGCACTGATTTAATTTCGGAAATAAGAAAAAATCGCATGGAGTCAGGTCTGGTGTGTAAGGAGGGTGAGGGAGCACAGGGAGCAGACGAATTGACAAAGCTGAGTGTGCGGGCGCATTGTCATGGTGCAAGAACCATGAGTTGTCTGGCCACAAGTGAGGTCTCTT